GACCCACGGCAGCCACGGGCAGGGGCAACAGCTGCTGGCCAGTGCTTTGTCTCTGTCTCAGGTGTTTGGGTGCAGGACAGACACCTGGACACCAGTTTCTTAAGTGAACTGCGAGGCACGGAGGAGAGAGGGCGTCACGCTTCAAAGGCAATGGGCCTTGCGCATCAGGAAACCGCAGGCTGGCCCAGCTGGGCCTCGGCCAGGGCAGGGCTGTGAGAGGCGGGGCTGGGCAGAGCACCCCGCCTGGCCTCTCTGGCCCCACGTTCCTCACGGAGGAGAATGGCCACCAGGGCCAGGAGAGACCAGGCAGGACACGCCATCTCTGGTGCTCGGGCCCCACAGGCTCACGTCATGTCTGGCTCGTGCATGTCGGAGGCGTGCCTGATGCAGCCCGAGGCCTCCCCTCTGAACACGGGGGCTGTGTCGGGCGTGGGGCTGCGCGGGCACCTGAACTGGGCGGCGTCACGGCACAGCTCCACGTTGGGCCGGTGCGAGCGCAGGTACAGACGAGACTGTGCAACGCGCAGGGGCACCTCCTTGTCCCTGATGGCCTGCCTCAGCGCCGCCACGTTGTGCTCCTGGTCCGTGATCTCCCGCAGCGTCTGCAGGTGGCCGTGCCGTGGGCGGGGGGCAGCCCGCCTCTCTCCTGCCCTGGCTCCGTCCCTGAGGGGCACCCGAGCCCAGCCCTCCCAGCCCCCAAGGGCACCCACGGGCTCTGGTAGGGGGTACCGTCGGATGGCCCCGCGCTGGCCAAGTGCTCATGGGACGTGGGGCAGCAAAGGCCACCCTGGGAAGCTAGGGCCAGAGCCCTGTGGCCAGGCCAGACTGCGGCCCTCGGCCACCCCCATGCCCGCTGGCTCCAGCTGTCACTCTGGTGGAGACCCCAGCAGAATGCCTGCTTACACGTCATCTTAAAAGACCCGGGATCCCCAGGGTGGGGCCGAGGTGGGCCAGGGGCAGGCTAGGCCGTGAGAGGGCGATGGCCAGGAGCAGCGGCCTCCGAGCCCTTGCCCAGCGCGGCTGGCCAGGCCCACCTTGCGCAGGTGGTGCTGCAGCGTGTGGAGTGCGTCCTCCAGCTCCTCGCAGCGGCGCCCGAAGGCCAGGTTCACGGCATCGCACTGCAGCCGCAGGTCCTCGGCCACGTCCTGCAGCACGCAGGCCACCAGCAGCCG